TGTCAAGTTTGACATGTTAAATTAATTTTATTTTGGAATTACAAGTAGTTTTTGGTTAAGTTTCCTTTTAGTTTAGTCTTGTTATTAGATTTATTATTATCACCTTTATCTTATCAAGAAATATTATTCTATCATCATAAATATCATTTAGTTATAAAATTCAAAGTAAATTATCATGAACAGTCACTATTGCCATTTTGAAATACTTTCATATGCAAAAGCTCAAAATGATAACAATACTAAGCCAGTGATGAATTGGTTCAACAATGCAAGCAAATTGTGAAAAATATGAAACTTTTACAATATGATCAAGATATATCAAAACATATATTTGCAATTTAATCACATTTTATTGATTGCACTTTGCATTTAACAGATAAGCAAGAAAAAAAAGAAAAAGAAAAATATAAACAGCAATAACAGCATAAGAGTAATGGTTTTTGAACAAAATATCTTGTTTTTCTATTATTCTTTTCATGAGCATGATATTAGTATCTGATCTCTCTTTGTGTTATATTTGTCACTTTTGATTGGTATCTTAAAAAAGAAGTTTTTTTCCTAATTTGTGTTCAAGTCTTTTTTTAATACATTTCATCGTTATTTTTTTTTGTAATTTGCCTCCGTGTTCAAAGATGAAAAAGATATAAAAATTAGATGCTTTATTATGAGCATTTGGATTTCATCTTGTTACGCACTTTTGGTCGGGTGGTGTTTTGACAATCTGTTTTTCTTTTACGAAACTTTAGACAATTTACATACAAATCAAGATTTCATTTATTTAAACAGTTGCTGCCTTAATTTTTCAGTCTGACCATTATTTGTTATTTTTACAAACCTCAAAAATTTCGGGTCTTTATCATTTCCATTATGATCTCAGTCAACGCATGATTTCGAGAATGCAACAGCAAAGAATAAAATTTGATTATTGGCTAATAATTAGCGCTTCCGTATAGGTGAAAGTTCGGTGAGCAGTAAGCTTTGTTGTTACATTGGTAAGAAATATAACGCGAAACAAAGTATATGATGATTTATTTAGTAAAATCATTGCAGACTAATGGTTCTTTCGGTTATAAGTCTAAATTTGATTCGGTTCGTCCAACTTTCTTAATACTTGGAATCAAAGGTATTTTTAAATTAATATATACGCATGCTAGACAAAATAATATTACAATATATTAAACAAGCATAAGTAAATTTCGCTCAAGGCTAAATATATTGTCTCCATTTAATGATCAAGACCGATGGTTGAATCAATAACAATAATCGAGATTAACTAATACTTTCCACCCGCAGTACAGGTTCAATACGTAACGGTAATACTTTATTTAGTGATTAATAATGAACATTACCACAAATGAGTGTTGTACTGACTGCGCTGCGTAGAAGATTATCGAATTCTACGAGTAAAAGAAGTTTATCGATCAATTGTTCTACTAGAATAGCTCGTGATTTTTGAAATTGCATTATACTTAGGTCCAACAATAAATATTAGCTGCGCAAGAATCTAAATCAAAATTATATCATCAATCAATAAATAAATTTCTTCTAAAATACGATTATTTTCTTTGAGAATTTTTTTAAAAAAATGCAAGAACAACAAGAACAGCAAGAACAACAAGAAGGACAGCAACAAAGACATTTACAAGAGCGACAAACTCGCCAATTTCAAAACACTGAAAACGCATCTAGAGAACCAAACCACAGGCCTAATCGTCGAGGAAGTCGCGGTGGTCGAGGTGGGCATCAAGGTGGATTTCGAGCAAGAAGATATCACTCACATCAACATCAACCACAACATCAACCACAACATCAACATCAACCACAACAACGACGACAACAACAACAGCAACAACAGCAACAGCAACAATTGATTAATGACTCTAATTTTCCACTCGTGGGTGCCGCTGCTCGGTTGCGCGCATCTTTAGCTGCTGAGGCTGACGATAACATTTCTGCCTCAAATGCAGATATTTGTTTTATTTGTGCCAGGAAAATACAATATTACGCTGTATCAAGTTGTAATCATCGAACTTGTCATAACTGTTGCTTGAGATTGCGAGCTCTGTATAAAACGCAAGACTGCACTTTCTGTAAGGTAAACTTTTAGTATTCAATAAGAAATGAATCATAGAAGCTTGATCAACTTGATCAAGAAGTAAAATGAAAAATCTTCGCGAACTTTTTTTGCTATTTCTATTTTTGATCTAATTATTAATCTAATTAATCAAAAAAAATCAATATTAACAAAAGAGTTATTATATGAATCTAATTTAAATAATTCAAAGAAAAAGATAATCTTAATTGATGGAATGTTGCATGGGACTTTGTTCACAAATAACTTAATACTAATAATAATTATATTCTAATTATAGACTGAGCAAAGTCACGTTATATTTACTAGTGACCCTGAAAAACCATATCAAGATTATAACACGGAGGACATACCATTTACTGATAAACAATTAAATATCTCTTGCGAGACTGAGCAAATGCTCGATGATTCAATCTTCCTCTTGAAATTTAATTGCCCCGATCGAAATTGTGTGATCACTTGTGAAGGAGGCTGGCCAGTTCTAAAACGACATTGCAAGCAGGTTCACAACAAACACTTATGGTGAGTGGGAATCATAGTTTTTATATATTTTTTTTCACATAGATGAGACTTTTAACTACATTCTCATAAATTAGTCATTTATGTACGCAATTTAAAAAAGTATTTGCACATGAGCAATCACTTTTCACAAAAAATCAACTTGATCGACATTACCGGCAAGGCGATCAGTATGGTCAGTCGGGATTTAAAGGACATCCTCAATGTGAATTTTGTCAAATATCGTTTTATGGTGACGATGAACTATATGACCATTGTCGCGACAGACACCAACAATGTGAAATATGTAAAAAACGCGGCATAAGACACGAATATTATGTGGATTATGATTCTTTGGTATGTAAGAATTATGTCCCTTGTACTGATAGTAAAATAAACATTTTCTAAAATATTTTATTTTTCAAACATTCACATTCAAATACTAAATAATATTCAGGCTGAACATTTCCGAGAGCAACATTATTTGTGTAATGATCCAGATTGTCTAGCTCAAAAAGTAATTGTGTTCGAAACGGACATTGATCTTAAAGCGCATGAGGTAATTTTTTCACTATTCTCACATTTCCAATTACTATAGATTTTTCTACCTTTTTAGAATTTCGTAGATATTCCATTATTTTCTTTACAAGTTATGCTTTTATAAATTTATTCTAATAAGAAATTCTGTCATAGTATATAAATTGCCGGTCCCAAGAAAAGTACTGCAGTTGCATATATTTTTATACTTAAATAATATTGATAATATTTATATTAATAATTTTTCTATCATTTGAATACTTCTAATATTATAATATTTATACATTTCTCAGGTGGAAGTTCACGGTTCTAGTTTTGCTGGTCAAAGAGCAAAGCACGAAGTACGACGAATAGAAGTAAATATTTCATACACCGATTCGCGAGAGAGGAGGCGCAGTATTGAAAGGGAATTACGACCAGCATCGTCGTCAACAGCATCTTTTTCGTCTTCACATCATCAATTTCCACCATTTTTTATAAGTCGTCAGCAGCGTCTTGAATCTGAAGCAAACCGTGCTCGTATTTTACAGCTTAATTCTGAAGCAAACCGTCTTGAATCTGAAAACCGTGCTCGTATTTTACATGCGTCTTCTCAAGAAATGATCGGCACAGAAAATGCCGAACAAATAAATGAAACACAGTCTTCCACTTCTTCGTCTTCTCTAAAAAACACGGTGGAAACTCGTGTTGCAGAAACAAAAAGTAATAATGATTTTCCCGCCTTGAACCAATTGACTATGCTAACTTCAACAACTAAAGGAAGTACCCAACAACAAGCCGGATCTAGTCAATCTAAAGCTGGTTCTACAAGTCAAGCAAGTAAACAAAATCAAATTTTCCCGGACTTTCCTAAACTCAATAGCATTTCTAATAAAAACCAAGAAAAGCCCACCGCTGGAACATCTAGTAGTGGCAAGCAAGAAAAAGGACAAAATGGAACTCTGACTGAAAACGGCCAATCGGTTGTTGAGAAGCAAGTAACAACCAAAGAAGACAATTTAAATGATAATGCAAAGGACAATAATCAAAATAAAAAAGTGGGAAAAAAGAAAAAGAACAAAGATAAAGAACCTTCAGCTCAAGTTCCTTTCCCTTCATTACAATCATCTACAATAAACAATGAAAAGAAAACCGATCAAACTACACCTCTTAAAGGGAAAAATCCTGATCAACCTGCCTCTTCAAATTCAATAAATCAATTAATGCCTGCTAAAGCTTATAACACAGTGGTTGCTCATGATAAGACAAAACAATCTTGGACTGAGAAAGAGATAATAGCGTATGTATCATTATTACTATTATTACTCTTTCAATTTTTTTTTACTAATTCATATAACTTGTTACAATCGTAAAAAAGACAACATGCAATTTATATACAGAGAATTACCGAATTTCTAAATAAAGATGATTCTAAACTATCAAGATTTAAATCCCTTACTTCTGCATTCAAAAAGACATTAATTGATGCCAAAGATTTTATTGATGATATTTGGCCTCTATTCAATAAGAATTCGGAAATTGTGGGTAAAGTGGTTTCTGGACTGGCCGATTTGCTAGATTCCGAAACTGTCAAGAAGAATTTATTAAGTGCATGGGAAGATCGCAAAGCAACAGTAAATATAATAGTATTTAAATCCATAATTTTAGTATTTTATCGAATTATTATTAATTATTATTTATCATCTTTTAATAGTTAACAATTCAATTTCCTTCTCTGGAAAGAGCAGCCGAAGGATCAAAACAGTCCAATATTTCGGCGAAAAAATCCAACTCGGAAACAAAAACGGCCAGGGTTTTGGTTATAAAATCTTCTACACACCCACCAAACAGTCTTGTTTGGGATAAAGGTCTGAACTCTGCTTCTAAATCTAAGACATCCTATAACAAGAACAATTCCAGTTTCCCGACATTAGCAGCAGCTACCGTAGTAGGAAACTCTGGAATAAACAACGCCTGGAAAGGCAACCGTCCTCAATTCATAAGAACTGAATCATCAAAGGCCGGTGCATCCGAAATCACTTCATCAAGTGAACAATCAGTCAGTTTTCGGCGGGGAAAACCAATCAAACTTGAAGATGTTACCAACGGAGGTGAAGAATTCCCATCACTTATCAAAGCAAAACCATCATCTTCAGAGAGACAAGCTGGAGGTGATTCTTCAGCTGAACGTAGTTCTGAGTCTGAAGAAGAAGCTCCGAAGGAAAAACGCAAAGTCAAAAAACAAAAACAAAAGCAGAAGCAAGTCCTGTTTCATCTTGGAGCTTCGCTTTCAGAACAACCTGATATCTAAATATTATATACTGCTGTTTACCTCATTGATACAATATTCGTTTTGGAATAGTAAAATATAAAATTTTTATCGTTATTAAATAGGAATAGTCATCTGCTTGAATAAGTAAACATGAATTTTATTAACTGAATGTAGACATTAAAATATCCAAATTTAATACTATTAAATATATATGTGGTGACTGTGAGGTTCGAACTCACGCCCACTTGCGTGGACTGCGACCTGAACGCAGCGCCTTGGACCACTCGGCCAAGTCACCCTTTTAGATTTGGCTTTATTAACAAAATAAAATCATTAACATTAATCCCTAATAAGAAAATCAGATGATCAACTTACGCGGCATCATTCGTTATATTTCAGGGAGTGAGAGCTAATCAATCTATCCACATTGTTCGTTTTCATCAACTAGACAATTATCATACTAAAACTTATCGTCTCCCATGAACCAAGATCGATCCAACCACACGCCAATTACTCTTAATCCAAATTTCAATTCATCACTCTCACATTACCTTCAAGTATGTCCTCAATCATTTGGATATAGACTAACGGAAGTCGCGCAACAAAAGATCTTGGCAAAGCTGTTTTCTGAGTTCTGGTCTCAAAATGAAAACTATGTAAAACTCTTTTTTCCGAATGGGGTTGGTGAAGGCTCTGAAGCATATAAACTGAATCACACTCAAAATGACCTTGGAATAGAGTACTCGCCTGCTCACAGGGGTAGATCTTGTGGTCATATCTTCAAGAAAGGTGAAAGCGTCTATCGATGCAGGTAAATTACAAACTTATATAAGTTCATATTTGCAAAGGATATTTAAGTTTAATCTTTTCATTTCTGGATTTCTTTAGAAACTGCTCTTTAGATGTTACATGCGTCTTTTGTTCGCGCTGCTATCATGCAACAAATCACGAGGGACACGACATAAGCTTTTCAATTCATAATGGACACGGTGGATGCTGTGACTGTGGTGATCCAGAGGCTTGGAGAGTGCCAATTAACTGCATTTACCATGCTCCAGATCCTTCAGTGACAGAATCATTCGAGCTCGAGAAAAAAAGATTCGAAGAGAATCTTCCACAAGATCTTCTTACCTCAATTCATAATACAATTTCGACAGTACTTGAATTCATATTGGACACTTTATCGACATCCCCTAAGGAAAAGATACCACCGAGATCAATTGACGAGGTGAAACAAGAGGCTTTAGCTACTGCATGTGCAATAGGTAACAATACAGTCGAAGACATGGAACAAGAGAAAATGTTCGCGGTGGTACTTTGGAATGATGAACATCATTCTTTCAATGAAGTCATAGATCAGGTTACTGCTGCGATTGAGTGTTCCGAAGCTGATGCAAAACGTATAACCGAAAGAGTTGACTCTTATGTATGTATCGTTGCTTATTTTATCGAAAAAATACACGTAAAATATCTAATAAATTTTAATTAATTGAATTAGGGTCGTGATATTGTTATGTTATCTGAAAATATTCAAAAACTACTCGATATAGCACGTCAGATATCACCAATAGGTCTAGCTGTTACTATTCGTTCTGCGCGTGACACTTTTCGGGAAGAAATGTGTGGTCTATTAATTAACTGGCTCAAAGATTTAGCAAACGGGAAGGTTGGCTCACATTCCACCCTATTAAGAGATATAATTTGCAAAGAACTCACAAAAGAATGGAAAAAAGATCCAAAGAGCAAAATTATAAAATCGGTACAACCTTATAGGATTGACCAAGACGAATACATGATTTATGAAGATGACGTAATGGAAAGAGCTGGAGGAGACGATGAGGGGCAAGTTGACCAAGATCAATTAAGTGACTGTAATCAATCCGGAGGTGATTATGAAATGATTGCAGCAGATGAATTGCTAGACAGTACAGAGCCAATGGACGAAGATGACAATATAATTATAAAACAAAAGGCTAGTGATTTTTTGAAAGAACTTAGACTTGATAAGTTATTAACTTTGGACCACAGACTCTGGAAAGAGGCGCGTTCTGGATTAAGAGATTTATATACCGCCACTCTTATCGTAAATTTAGAGTACAAAAAAATATTGGGTATATTATCAACTTTCGTTATCTGTTTCACTTACTATAACACTCTAAACTTTTTCGATTTCTAATTTCATAAACATCATATTGGTCTTAGGAATCCGATTTGTGCGAAACTATATGAAGCTTGTAGATGCTTTTCTGACACAAGATCGGGAACCCGAACATTCAATCATCCTCTTCACAGTGCAATTTTTCACTGTACCCACCATCGCAACTACATTAGTCAAGAACTACAATTTCCTATCAACAATTTTCACAATACTACGCGATTTTTTCATCGCAAATCAAATCAATGGGCTAGGAAATATTGAAAGTAACGCGAAACTCAATTGCGAATCAGATAGCTTTAAGAATCGGCGTTACTTTCACATATTTTGTGACCTCCGTTACATAATCGGAATGGCAAATGTACGAAAGATTGTGCCAAAAAGCCCATATAATTTGCAAGAGTATCTCGATCTGATTGGATTATTTCAAGGAATGAATCCTAATATACGCGCAGCACAGCAACACGTGGAATACGAAAACGATAGCTGGATGAACGCATTTAACGTGACGTTGCAGCTAGCAAAAAGCTGTCGCCAATTTTCTTCATGTTATGTCTCGGATACGCGGCTTTTGACCGACACGATACGCATAGTTTTGCGGAAAATATATCTCTGGTCGTCGAGACGCGATATCAAAAATGAAAATGAAGGGGAAAAAATGAATGAGACGAGTCTTCGGGGTACTCATATCCAACAATCACGTGATACTTGGTCTTCGGTATTTCAGTATCCTGAGACGAACAATGATAATAGAAAAGTGGGATTAAGACAACAAGAATTTCATGAAGTTGGATTTCCTTCTAATCCTTATATTCCCACATTTAAGGTAGTAAAGTTTAATGTTACCTCACAACCAGTGAGCTTTCATCATCCTCTGCACTGGTTCTTGGGCGAATTATTAGAACATATTGAATTGTTAAACGACGAGACGCTTAGGCAACACGGTTGGGATAGTTTCCAAAATATGATATTGAGTTTTGATGTGGAAAATGACGAAGATATCGATCGTGCCAAGGAAAAAATCCTTGAAATTTTCGATTATCCTTTACGTGGTAAGTAAATTGAAACTTTTCACGTAATGACACATTAATTAACTTTTAACGACTGGTATTGTATATTTTTGTAAGTGTTGGTTTTGCTGGTACAAATTCGCTCCGGATTATGGGTTAGAAATGGATTTGGTATTCGTGGACAAGTAAGCAGACAAACACACATCCTTCGACATCATAATATTTATTTTAGTTCCATTAATTTATAATGCTGATGCTTACGTTAATTTATAATTTAGTGTCTTCATTATCGAGAAGTCTCTCTTCGAGAAAACACATACGATGAAGATGTCTTCTTGATTCAAACCGCTTTTATATTAAATGAACCAAATTTGATGCTTGCTACCATTTTGGATCGTTTTGACATGGTCGACTGGTTTGGCGGCAAAATTTCGCATCAAGTATATGACAACCTGCAACTGATATTCATGGCCGAAGAGCTTTTGACATTATTAATTGTATGTGTCAGTGAACGTGGAACTGCCGCAGGATTGACTACTAAACAGAAAATCCGGCGAGAAATAATCCACAGTCTCTGTCTCTCGCCACTTGCATATTCCGAACTTATTAAACGTATTCCAGAGAGACTTCACGAAGATTCGTCTTTTGATGAAATTTTGGGACAACTTGCCACCCATCGTAATCCCGATAGTCTGACTGATCATGGCACCTATGAACTTCGCGATGAATTCTATGACGAAGTGGATCTTTATTTCGTTCATTATTCTCGCAACAATCGTGAAGAAACAGAAGAAGCGTTAAGAAATAGACTTAAAAAGAAAATGGGAGCATCTAGCATGCCCTCTCCAGCACCTTTGATCGTTCCCAAATTAATTCCCATAACAAACGGACCTTTTGTCAGATTAGGAAATTTTTTGCATGCTCGACTTATGAATCAAATTATATTTTACGCTCTATGGCATGTGAAACATGACAAGATTAAATCGGATACACTGGTCGATGAGGCATTACATTTAGTGATGTTGGCTTTGGTAGATGAAAACAACGACATTGCTCGAGAAAGTAAACGCAAGGGAAAACAAAAGGCCACGTCATCATCTTTATCATCCCAAATTAGTATTACTTTAGACAAGGAAAGGCCTGGGTTCATGCATTATGCAGTTTCTGATTATTTCCCGGTTGACATTGATTCATCATTCCATTCTGAAGGAATTAACCTCTTGACTCTTTTGCTTCAATTATCCACCGACCCATTATTCAAAGAATTTTTGCCGAAATTTGAATTCATCACGAATAACTTCGAGACAAATGGTAATGAAGATGTGAAGTTGATAATCAGTACACATCGCGATAGACAACGCGCTGAATTGAAGGCCAAAGAAGGTAAAGAAAAAGGATTATCGGATTTCGAACGCAAAAAACTTGCAGCGAAAGAAAGACAAGCAAAAATTATGGAACAATTCGCAAAAGCCCAACAAAGTTTCATTGAAAAACACGAAGATTTATACGAAGAGGATGAAGAAATGGGTGAAAATTGGGAATTTGCTGCTGATGAAGGCCATTCAGAAGATAAAGAGAAACTAAACACAGAGACTATCTGGTCATATCCTACAGGCACGTGCATATTGTGTCAAGAAGAAACTAATTTGTCAGCGCTTTATGGAATGCTCGGATTGATTCAACCGTCCAATATGTTGAGAACAACTCCATTTGACAATAAAGATCATATGGTGGAAATATTGGATTTACCAGAAAGCTTGGATCGTAAATATGAACGTAAGCAGCCATTTGGTGTTGCATCAACAGCCTTCTCAACTAATGAAAATACAAAATATGGTGAAACATTGCAAAATGATTTGATCAAAGGATTTCCTACTAAATCATGCAAAAAAGGATTATACGCGTCAACGTGTGGACATTTAATGCATGTAAAATGTTTCGAAACCTACTTTGCCTCGATAGAGCAAAGACATCAATCGCAATTAGCAAGAAATCATCCAGAAGAAGCAGCACGTAAAGAATTTATGTGCCCGCTTTGTAGAAGTCTAGGAAATGCATTACTTCCAATCGTTTGGAAGGGAAAGAAAGAGACTTACCCGGGAGTTCTTGAAACAAAAGTTGATTTTGAAAAATGGCTAAATGAAGAGATTGGAGACATGATGGATGCTTTAAGTCAATTCTCTGAAATCAATGCAGTACCACCACATACGTCTAAAATAAGTAATTTCATGCCTGATCCCATTCGATCCAATTCATCCTTATCCGGATTAATTAACGGTGGCCGTTTACCAGATGAATCCCGTGAAATGATGAATAATGTAAACTTACCGGACAATTCTCAGAATACTCAAAGACGCCGGAATAGTAGTAGTGCTGGCAGAATTCGAGAGGCTATTACACAGTTTATGACAGATATTTGGAGAGCTCCGCCCGTCTTGCCAACAGCTTCTGATGATGATAATAATCGAGAAACCCACATGGATCCATCAGCCATTAGTCCTGCAGTTGTACCCGAGGAATATGATCATGAATCGATGCGTAAAATATATGAACGTTTATGTGATGTAATTCGTTTGTCCTATCAAAGAATACCAGCCAATGAATCTTCTACTTCTAATGATGTGTCAATGAAAGGGATTGATAAATTGTGGAATCTTTATAGCTACACAATCTCATGTGTTGAAATTCATCAAAGAGGAATTGACAGTATGACAAGTGAAGGATTACCCGCCACAACTCTTTTAGATGGGATAAACACAAAAACTTTGACTCTGTTAAGAATCATCTCTGAAACCATTCTTACCTGCTCTGACATAATATCGAAGGGAACATCCGGCAAGTTAAAGCGCATTACCACTAAAAGACTCGGTCAACTATTTTATGGATATCCTGAATCTCAAAGTCAACAGATAACCAGTCTCGCTGGTAAAAGCAAATCAATTGCGCACGATTATCCACTACTATTAGAAGATGCTTTTATATTACTCTGTGAACTTTGTGTAAACTCATCAGATTATGGCATTCAATCTGAAGTTCATAATTTAATGCAATTAATGTACTATGCTGAGTTGGTCAGAGTAATAATAGCAATTGGTGATGCCGCTATCGACGAACAGACAAAAGCATGGCGTAAAGATGCACGATTGCAACAGCAAAGTTCATCAAAGAAAAAACAAGAAACACTTCAAGACTTTATAATATGGACATTGGAGCAAGTGGGAAATAATAAAGCAGATATTTCTAGTTTCTTGGAAGACGTGGATGAATTTGTCCTAGAAAAAATGATACGTTCTTTTTGTTTGCCATATCTAAGAAAATGTGTCATTTTAATGCATACGAAATTTGGTGTGGTTTTCCCTAAAACTGGATCCGAAGTGGATATTGATGATGAATTCACAAGACTTTCTCAAATATTGAGATTACCTTCCATAAAAGAGATATTCGCCACACTACTCACTTCCACAAAGGAAGAATCTACGCTAGTGGCAATTGTGAGCGGCTGGTGTGAGCATCTCAAACAACGACGAATCGAAGTTAATCGCGTTAAATTTACGCCTTCATCTTCGCAAACTATATATCTTGGCAGTGTACCTGTCAATAGTACTCCCCTCTCCTCTTTCTACCCATCGTCACCGTATTATACACTGCCACAACCGCCAATAAGAATTAATCATCCAGCCATATTTGAATTGGTGGGATTACCGCAACGACTAGACTTGCTATTTGAGACAAGTCTTCGTAAAGTCTGTCAAAAATGTAACACCGTTCCAAATGACCCAGCGTTATGTTTATTATGCGGAACTTTTGTGTGTTTTCAAAGTTATTGTTGTTCAGAACGTGAAAGTGGAGAGTGCAATTCACATGCAAGAAGGTAAGTTTTATTTATATTAATTACTTGATTATATTGAAATTGGGAAAATAATAAAGTATTCTTATACGTGACCACGCAGTTGTGGAGGCGATATCGGAATTTACTTCCTTGTCAAAAAATGGGTAATCCTTTTGCTTCACCTTAATAATGGTTGTTTCATGAACCCGCCATATTTGGATAAACATGGTGAAGTGGATCTAGGATTGAAGTATGTATTATTATATTAGGTTACTTACATAGAGATTAAGTTGAACAATGGATCACTAAACTTTTTTAATTTATAGACGTGGACGGCCGCAATTTCTAAATCTTAGGCGATATGACGAAATCCGTAATTTATGGCTTACGCATGAAATACCAATACGCGTAGCACGAAAGATTGAACAGTCTTTTGACTTGGGTGGATGGTCAACTTTTGATTTGGGTGGATGGACAACTATGTAAAAATAATTCAATAATATTAATCATTTAAATTTTTTTTTGATGATTCTATAATCTCTTATTGTAATTACTAGTAACATAGAAGAAATGGTTATGTTATTCTTATAAACCTATTTTCGTTTCATATATTCATAATCAATAGTAATAAAAAATGAATTTATTTATTAATATTACACGTGCATTAATTGTTATTAAAATTGACAATAGTAATAAAAATGAATTTATTTACTAATATTACACATGTATTAAAATTGATATATGTATAATTATTAACGGTCATAATTGAATTTAATTTTTAACAAATATTTTTGGAATATTTGATTTGTGTCGTAGACGATATATTCATTATATTGAAGATAATTTGCTTTCTTCGAGCCAATTCCTTTTCCGCATGGCACCACGGTCCCATTTTCCAAAGTGGTAGATCCTTTCGGATCTGGGATAGTTTGTCCGAGACCTTTGGTACAGTGTTTGCCTTCATTTTTCACGAGTAAGTCGGCGTTATAGTCACCGTTTACTAATTCCAACATATCACCTAATGCAACTTCGCATAATAGCATTAAGCCAATGTTACTTCGATGGTCAGTATAACAATAGTTTGCGGATTTTGAGACACAATCAGCAAAGTAAACTCCTTTGCCAAACATGTAACCAGTACTGGGAACGTGAGGTGGCGCAATACGTAATCCCTGTGAGAGAATGCTATTTAAAAACCATAATAAATTTTTAGTTATAATTCGAAGAAACGTGTGAATAAGTAAGTAAACAAAATACATACCCAGCGTAATTAGTCTTTCGACTGCCATGCCAAAGTAACATTCGATTGTGAAGAGTTGAAAAAGGCTCGTAACGTTCTCGTTCACCCTTTCGCTCCAAGTCGAAGACCTCCAATACTTCCAATTTATAGTAGTCGTGCGTGGCACCTTGAGTATTCTTGACGTATTCAACTATTAATTTGAATTCTTTGGAATTATGATCCAATGGTTCCAGGGTTTCCAGCATGAGAGAATCATAATACGCGTCAATTTGATTCTTGGGTGATTCGTTAGCTTGTTTAAGTAAAGTTGACGCAATTTCAATTTCACCCAATGTTTCGACCATTTGTAATTTAGCTTTCAAAACTTCGTTGTTACTGATGATTGGAGGTTTTCTCATCCCAAAATTATGCGGAATGACTGTGTAAAATTCATTGGTGAGTTCAGTAAGGTCACCTTGTTCTTCACCACTAAGAACTGCTGCGATGCGTTTCAAAGCGAGGTATCCTTGATTGACTGTAGTCTTTGAGAGTTTACCGAGTGGTAGTTTCGTTGCATCGTAATTTAACGCGACCATTGCATCGTTCCACGAACCAACGTCAAAAATCATTTGAATTATATCTTGAACTTTTGTATGTAATTTCGATTCCGGGGGTTTAACGATCTCTTTCTCTTTTTCATCTTTTGAAGTGGAAGCAGCAGCAGATGATGATAATTCAGGTTTATCTTCAGTACCGTCTCCTCCATAATCACGTACCAATAAAGTGTATTTTGTTTTATGAGTTGTAAAATTAGAGATATCTTTACATACAAAGAGCCAGTTGTTTTTCGTTTTCTCTTGAAACTTCCTTTTGAATTCGCTTTTTGCGTTATCCAAAAATCCGGTTGGTCCATAAGTAACACTTGAACCATTATAACCGACTCTTCCCCATTTGGTGAATACGTAATAATTACTGCCAGAATCAGATTGAAGCAATTGGATGACAAAGAATTTATTATTGTTATTTTTTAGGTCTGTTTGATTCAGAAGACAATCCCAAATTGCTTCTTCATCCACGAATACATGAGTTGTGTCTTTGAATTGGAACATTTGATCAACCGGAGCTGCACCTTTTTTAATTATAGTCACCATTTTCTTTTCCTCTTGTTTCTCTTCAATTATTTCTGTATTATCGGTGACTTTGACCAATGTATCGTTAGTTGAAACAGTGGTAGTAGTAGTAGTCGTAGTATTTGTAGTAATTATTTCATGGGTCTTTCTTTTTCGACCTCGTTTATTAATAGTAGTTGTTGTATTTTGTTCGTCTGCATTATCGTTGGCAGCCGAAGTGGATGTAGTAGCAGTATTATCAACTGATGATGTCGTAGCAACTACCGAATTTTTTGAATTAGGTCGACGTTTTTTGGCTGGTTTCGCTTCCAATTCATCATCTTTTATCTCGTCTTTGTTTGTTTTGACTTCCGCGACACTATTATCTTTTTCAGTCGAGGCATTTTTGGGTTTTCGCCCTCTTTTTCGCGTCGGTTTAACAGTTGCAGCTTCGGCTTCAGGCACAGGTTGATTATTACTATTGGGTGATTGACTGGGTTTAACTTCCGCGTCATTGTTAGCATTAGAATTCGCGGAATTTTTGCCTTTTCGCTGACGTTTTTTGGCCGGTTTCGCCTGTTCATTATCCGATTCAATATCTTTTGCATCACCTTGGTTTAATGTTTCCTCGGAAACGATCTCTTTATTTTCGGCGTCATCTACTACCTTCACCTCATTTACGTTATTAACGTTGTTGTCATTAGCATTATTTGAGTCATTTCCCGTATCACTATTTTCGATCACTGAGGAAGGAGACGCGCTGTCAGATTTTGAGGTCCTCGATCGAGTAGTAATAGCGGAGGTATAAGTAACGACCTTTCTTCGACGTTTGCTACCAGGCTTCGGTTCGATTTCATCTTGATCGTTCGCTCGAGTCTCCTTGATTTCCGCTTCGTTGTGAGAAGTACTTTCGGATTTGGCAATGTTACTAATATTGACGTCCTGCGTTTCGACATCCGTTGAAGCATTACCGTCAGGAAAAAATGCTGACTCTGCCAGCTTCGCCCCCTTTTCAATGGACTGTTGTATCCAATCCCAAGTCACAAGGAAGGTATTTTGTTTACGCGCAGTCGTCACTTTTTTACTGGGTTTATTCAAGTCGTCTTTCGTCACCACCAAATGTGTAGTCGACCTGGTCACAGTGGCCACTACTAGCCCACCATTATTTCGTACCAGTTCGCCAAGGTGCGAGTGTGTCCCTGCCTCGAACACACCAGAGAAGGTTACCACGCACCCAGAAAATATGGTTTTTTCATTGGACATTATTATACAATTTGGGTCGTAAACTTAAAAAAGATTCTAGACAGAGAACGCGTTATTATATGACTGATCAGGACGCAGTAAAACGCTGCCGTAGTAAATGACGCAGCCTGTGTGATTGATCACATCGTTTGACTTTCACAACAATGGGAAATTCCGATTTTAGGGGTCCACTAAAGCAAGGTAGTTTCACGTGATTTAAAGATCCAAGCCGGATTAATTCAATCCAGATCACATGATTA